AACACCCTGTGGTATCAAGAAAAGTGAAATGTTATGGACAAGACCACATAATAACCAACAATGGAGGAGACAGCTAGTCCATGGACAAACAGTCAAGCAAAGAAAAAGGAGAGATGGCCAACAGTAGGACGGTCAGGTGAAAGGTGATGACAGATAGACCAATGATGAAAGATATGCCACTGACAGTGGTATATGAACAAATTGGAAGGGCAACAGGAATGATAAAGTAAAAAGAGTACACAATTGAAAAGTCTAGTTCTATGGGTGAGTGACTGGCCAAATCCCAAATATGAAGGTGGAGGGATAAGATGCTTTGATGGAACAGTGACATGTTATAGTTGGCAAGAGAAAAGAGGGTTAGGTTGTCATGCTGTGTAGAAGAGGGGACATAACTAAAAGATACTCAAGTAGGGGTAAGAAATTGGAACATGCCTAATGAACTGTTAGAAGTTTGAGCACATTGATATGGAGAGAAGACTCATCCTGGGTTCATGTGTCCAATGTGGGATTTCAATCAGAGAGGGAAGCACAGGTGAAGAGGTGCAGGTCCAGTTTGGGTTGAAGTAATGGAACACTGATGGTGGTATTGGATTGTTCCAGCCACCAAGACAGATCCTTGAGTAGAGGAGGGGAGAGATGAATCACATAATAGATAAGTAAATATATAGGTATCATTTTCTTTTTGCAATTTCTGTAAATGTTTCTCTCATTTGTGAATTGTGAAAGTATTTGTGTGTTAAATTATGTGTTTAAAAACTACAGAAATGTTCTTCAATGAGTATACAAAATACAACTTAAGATAAGGTAAGTTTATATATACAGTTTAGAAAATAAATGGGTAACAAAGAAAAGTTTTCAAGTTTAACCTAGTAACAACTGCACAATGTTTGAAGAAGGTTTAGTCTTAATCAGGTACAAAGTTTACACATGGTCACCAACTAAAATTGTCATCAAATCAAATAAGTTTAGTCAAGTTTACTGTTTCATTAGTATGGTGGTCAACTGCAAAATAGTCTGATGAATCAAAACTTCATTGAATCCTCTTTTTTTTCATCCTATTCAAACAAATGAGTATGTAAGTTGTCTAACTTGATAATTAATTATTTCTCCTTTCAACCACAATATGTTTTAAGTAAAAATCTTATTACCCTTATTGATCATAATACAACACATTTTAATTACTTGTCAATGTACTTGATATACAAAAGATTAGTGATGAATTACTGCATATTTTAAAAACAAACAATGATGATCATGTGGTGGTATTTAGTAAACATTAGTGATTCATTCACGAAGTAGGAATATAAAGATTATCTCCACAACATTTGGCAGAGTTTTTAGTAAACATTACAAGTCATTTCCACACAAAATCAGTTTTTAATAAGTATTTGTCCGTGAATATATTGAGTTTTTTGACCAGTCAAGTGCAATATGATTTTCATGTTAAGATTAACAATACATTTCTTCATCTCAAATGTTACTTGCATAATCTCTAAAATCTCCTAAATATATTTCAAACATTTCTTCAGTAAAACTTTATATTTGATCATTATTAGTTTTTCTACACTAACTATATACAAGGTTGGTCAATTTGACTGACCTTATAACCACCAAAAAAAAGAAATCAAAATAAAACTAAACTATTTTCTTTTCTTTCTTTCTAGAAATGACTTCAAATTGTAACATGAAACTATGTTTGTTTATCCTAAGTAGCTTTAAACTCATAACACTATACATCTATTTATACTTGATTGCCCTTTGAACTGTGTATAACTACCAATACAATTCATGCCATTATAAGTTGTAAATCACTTGGGGAATATGTGGCTCACGTTATGCTATTGAATTACATTACTCATGAGCTACTCAAAGCTGCTTGTGTGTGTGTGTGTGTGTGTGTTACCTCATGAAAATTTTTTATTATATTATTATTATTATTCAATTTACCTAATCTAACCTTAATTAACCTAAAAAGGTTTCCTATTTTTACATTTTAATTACTTTTATAATAAATAAAGAATACACATGAAAAACAAAAAATAAAGTACTTACCTGGGCCTTCTTTTTATTTGCTGTTGACTGTTGAAGACACTTAATCCTACTTTTTTATACTAATGGTAGTAGTAGTAGTAGTGCACTAAATAATCTTTATTTAATTAGATAATTCACCAAAGAACACAGAATAATAACATGCAAAAAGCAGACAATTTTCCATAACTATCACAATTTTTCTGGCTTTCTAACTATGGAACAAGAGCCATTACAAATTCATCCCAGCTAAGCAATGTGCTTCCCATAGGAACAAAGTTTGTACTGAAATAGAAATTAACATTTTCTTATACAGAAAACAATGTAATATAATATGTCATTTGATAGATGAAAACCTTGGGTCTCTATTGGTTAAAAATAATGTACTATTAAACATAAGAGAGAACTATTGACAAATCCTGAAAGAAAGGATGTGACAGGAGGATGTGGTAAGAGGGGTCTGATTTTCTATTTGATTACTGTAACCAAACAAAATTGAAGGATTGAAAATTATGCTTTATATGAGCAATGACAATATTATTATAAGTAATTTACATTAAATTTCGTACTTCTTGGAGGAATGGTAAATAAATTAGAGAAGATGGGAGCCAAGAGAAAAAATATCATATTTCTCACACTAAGGGAAATTCAGGATCTTTTTTAACATTGCCTTGTAAAATAAAGAACTTAAATCTTGTATACTATTAAAATATGGATTATTAGCTACAATTTTATGCTATACTAATTGGTATAACATGAACAAACAAAAAGTAGTTAAATTAAATTTTGAATGTAATTCACTAAAAATCTCGTGACATGCACAGTAAAGGATGCCTGTTGCAAGAGAGGTAATTACTGCTGAAAAGTCACCAGACATTTTCTTCTTCAAAAAGCCAAGGAGACATGTTATGAAGAGAGTGATGAGATCTCTCCAAAAAAGAAATAAACTAGATCAATTTGAAAAATGATTTCTGGCAACCTTGTTCAGTTGCAATATCTTCAAGTCACTTCTTTCTCTGGTTAATCAATTGTTGAACTATTTTGTGACAGCTGAGGTGTTTGGTATTTCTTGCAGTTTGAAGTTTTACTTTATATACCAGGAACTATTTTGTTCATGAAACGCCATGCATGGCACAATTAAATATTAGGGTTTGAAGTTGAATAAAAGTGTTATTAGAATAGAAATATACCATTTACCTATTTTTCATTAGTGGATGTCTTAACAAATAGTTAGGACTTTTAGTGCCAGATTTAGTTGCCATAATGTGTTAAAATGATGAATGTCAAAAAGATGTTAAGCAATATTTGCCAATTGTTAATCAAATTTAATACTGATTGGCAGTTTCTGCTAACCAAATCCACCATACTATTTTGTTCCCTATATAATTTTACTGACATACCCACACAATGCACAGAGAAGTTACTGGGGCCCCTGAGGGCAACACAGGGGGTCATACCTGAAAAATGAGCCCTTTCGTTACTCCCCAGAAGGCCCTAAGGATTTATACTAAGTTTGGGGAGAATTGGTCCAGCAGTTTGCCAGTTGATAGCAGAAACAATGCACAGGGAAAACAAAAGGGCACCTGGGGTTGACATGGGGAAGGGGTCAGATCCAAATACACACAACCACAGGCTTTAGTCAAATAATGGTTTAAAATTGGTTCTACATGTAGTTAGCTCTTATTAGCTTAAAGGTTTTATGATTGTTATTTAGAATTTTTTAAAGTGAGATTAGGCTAGTGACTTTAAATCAGATCAAGATTTAGGGATAACATACAGACAATGATGCATTTGCTCCTTCAAGACTGTCCATGTACATCCAGTTATTCACTCTTGAGAAAAATTAACAGTTAATGACAATCTTTATTTTTTGAAGAAACTGATTTCCCTCTTAAATTCCTGTAAAGTGCTGGCCTCTACTACTGAGGATGATAATTCATTTCAAAAGCTAATCACCCAGTTGGAAAATTAAAAACTGTTAAATGAAGACCAGTCTGTCTTTTCCAACTCTTAAACTTGTGTCCTCTCATCCTCTTATTTACATACTAGAGCACAAAGAAATCAGAGGCCTTTATCATATTGGTCCTTTGAATAATTTTGAAAACTTCAGTAAGATTATAACAGTCTTTTCTAAAAAGAAAATAAGATCTTAACAAATCCATTTGGGTTTTTGAAAAAAATGAGTGTATAACAGGATTTCAACTTCACTAACATATTTTATTTAACTGTCCATTCACAGGTGTGATCAATTTGACAAATCTCATAACCACAAAATTATATATACTATAACTTTAATGTAATAAGTGTATCTTTACGAAACTTGGCAAAGTTTTTAGTACACATAACAAGTCTGATTTTTTAATTAAGTATTTTCACTAAAGAGTTGTCTGTAAATTTACCAAACTTTCACTAAGTCATTCTGAGTACAAGGTGATTTTCATGTTACAGTTTTCATACTTCATTTGCATAGTAACCTCTAGAACCTCCTAAATGAGCATCAATTTTTTTCTTGGTAAAACTTTATATTTTATCTTAACACCATATATGGGCTTGGTCTGGTTGACCAGCCTCATAACCACCAAGTAACAAAAAAATATAAGATAAATTTTTTCAACCCTTTTTTTTCCAGTATTACTGTATATTGTAACTGATAATTACATACTATTTATTTTTACGGCCAAAGATAATTAACTTTTCATTTAGCTTTATTTTTTTACAGTTGCATTCAGACCATTTCAAAGTAGGCAACGGCTATTTACTGCATGGGATAAGTTTTGTGCAAACAAAGGATCCAGTTACCAGCATGTTCATCAACTTACACAACCATACTTGCAATGGGTGCCTGCAGTCACAAGTATTTTGTTTATTTAATTTTTATTTTCTAACCTAGTAAGTTTCTAATTTTAACATTTTAGTTATTTCTATATAGTAAATGAAAAGTAACCGTAAAAAATAAGAAATTTAGTGCTTACATGTGAAACAGTCATTTTCAAGTTTTTGTACTCACGACAGAAGTCCACATCATATCACTTGGCCTACATCTTATTAACAAAAGTGTGATTTTAGACATTTCTATAAAATTCAACTACATAACTTAAAACAAGAAATATTACCACACATAGAGTGTCCTAAAACTAATATAACTCATATGATTTTAACTAAGGTAGAAATGGGTTAAATCATTCTCATACATGGTTGAGTTCCAACACATGAAACAATGGAAAATGACAGCAAATTGTTCAGAATATAAGGAAAGGCTTTATATATATTTAACTGATAGAGCTCGCTTTATTATTTTTCTTAAAAGATTAGTCTAGCTTAGTGCATAAGGGCAGTCTCCATGGGATACCATATCCTTTATTGTCCATAATGTTATGATGATGAAAGAGGAAATATGAATACTTTTTATGCTAAAATTGCTGAGCAATACATCATGTGTTAGGCTAAGTACAATACAGATAAATTCTTGGATTCGATACAAAGGTACAATTAATTTGGGTTTCAACTATGAGTATCTGACAAAATGACATTTTGTTACTGTGCTTGTCCTAATATAGACATTATTTAGCAAACTTTATAACTAAAATAGTATTTAATTAAATTTCTTTACCAAAATTTGCACTGATATTTGAATTAACTGGAGCATTCATGAATAGAGTTACCAGATGTCCCTGTAAAACTGAGATCATCCCAGTTTTTAGACTTTTGTCCCAATCAGATACAGTAAAAGTATTACTCTCTCAGTTTCCTTATATATCAGTGACCGCGAGTTTGATACCTATGATTTGTCATTATCCACAGCTCCTTTATATTTCACTTAGAAAATAACCTGAAAAAGACAAACTACATGGTAGTGCACCATCCCTATATGATTGGTTATCTTAGCCTGTCATTGGGCAGCAGTGGAAACTGATAGTTGAAGACCTGCCCAGCCACAAAAAAGAAATAAAGCAACTGTTTTTTTATGAGTAAGTTAAAAACAACTTAGGTACATTGTTTATTATACTTATTATTTTTTAATAATATAAGCTTTTATTACATTTCGTTTTTCTATTAAATCAAAACATGATGCAATAAAAATCATATCATTTGGCAAACATAAAGTGTTAATGTAAACTGTTTCAAGAGTGTTACAACTTACAGTCACAAAGTATGAAAAAAAAAAGTCACATTTTTATGCTTTGGATATCTGGTAACACTATTCGGTATTCGTGAATAGTATAATCTGAGTTAACACTTTATATGTGTCACTACTAATACAACTACATGTACAACACCTTACCTGCATTTTTCATTTAACTTTTAAGAACATAAGCTTCAAACTTCTACTTGTGCGGTAAAACAGAATAACATATTAACAGTATAACTACCGATTAAAATTTGAGTTGAAACTGAAAGTTATATTTGTAATACCAAATATCCGATACTATATTGTAATAGGGATTGATAAGTGTAAACACATCGTTTGCAACTACCATCAAAGTTCTAAAAAAACATTAATTCATATTTTTAACTTTCTTTCCCTTAATATAGAGGTTACACACTACTAGTACTAACACTAAGTAATACTTAGTATTAGTATCACCCTTCTGTTCGCATTACTACTATAATTTATTATTACATTAACTTTTCGATGTCTAACGCTTATCTACCACAAACCTTAACTTCCTTTTCAACCAATAACAACACACATATTTAGATTGTCGCGCCACAGGGTATCAATTATATTTAATTCCGAATATTAATAATTTGTTTAAAAACATACAATTCACTGATGTTAAAGTATTGAAAAATCAAATGCAATAAAAAACAGTTTAAACCCTAAATTGCAATCAATAGTATTTTCTTACTCAGATAACGTTTATAAAGCGTAATATTCTTCTACAATGTTTATGTGAAAACTAATAAATAAGGATAGAAAGCGCAAGACTCAAAAGGTCAAAATCAATTAATAGCACTATTACTTCCTGTTTATGGTTTTATTTTGCCTTTATCAACTATTTCTATCACGATAAATACTATCTGTATGTTGCATTTGTGACAAAGTTCGTAGGACTATCTGTTACCGTTCTAAATTTTGACTACTGACTAAAGGAATGCAGTAAGTCAGCAGCACCTTACCACACCCAATACACGAAAAGGGATTAGCTGTTATTTTTTTATAACGCAAAGACAGCTTAAAGGCAGGACATATTTTGTAGTATCACACAGATTCGAACCCGGTTTACCAACTCAAAATCCAGGCTCAACTCGCAACTCTATCACGATAAACATGTATAATACAAAATAGGTTAAAGTACACACATATATTTTTAAGACGGCTTTTGTTGTTTCTTTGTTTGTTTGGAATTAAGCAAAAAGCTACACAATGGGCTATCTGTGCTCTGCCCACCACGAGTATCGAGACCCGATTTCTAGCGTTGTAAGTCCGCAGACATGCCGCTGTGCCACTGGGGGGCTTGTAGTTTCCGCTTGGTTATTGTAATTAAATGTGTTTTCCGTAAATTTGAGAAACTTGTATTATAATGTTTATTTATTTTTTAAGAAAGTAATTATTACATTTTTAATGACAATTTGAATATTTGTAGTATGCAGGCATATAATGTATTTTTCCACAACCATTAGTAATTTTTTCAACATTTTTATTTTTCGATTTCTATGTAGATTTGGTATAAACACGTGTTTGTTTGTTTTGAATTTCGCGCAAAGCTGCACCAGAGCTAACTGCGCTAGCCGTCCCTAATTTAGCAGTGTAAGACTAGAGGGACGGCAGCTAGTCATCACCACCCACTTGGGCTACTCTTTTACCAACGAATGGTGGGATTGACCGTCACGTTAACTGCTGGTACTGTAACAAACCTGGGCACAAGAAAGCTCGATGCCGGGAACTTCAACACAGGGGAGAAGCCACCGCAGGAAAGGCTGCTACCCAGATAGGTTGTTGGAACTATGGAGAGCAAGGACATATGAGGAGCCAGTGTAGGAAGAATACTACCAATAAGTCAGCCTTGGGGAAACAAGTAGTGGCTGGTGCTGAGGGACGCCCACCAACCCCCATTGTGAATGTCCCAACAGCTAAGTGTAAAATGG